ATGGTATGGTATGGTATGGTATGGTTAGAGATTGAACTAACAGATTCTGCAGAGTGGGAGAATAGAGATAGAATGAAGCAGAATGATGAAAAAGGGGTCCCTATGTCCTCCAGCAGTCTAAGCCTATAGCAGCAGAACTATAGCGATAGCTCAGGATAAGAAGTATTTTGGATGAGGTATGAGGTAAGATAGAGCCAATCTGCACTCATTCGATGCAAAACAGCCACTGGCTGCTGAGCTTTAAAACATTTGCATTCTGCAAGACTGAAAAGAGGATCATTTGCAAAAATTTGAAAGCTGTACAGTTTCTAAACATAAATAAGAAGGTCAATGCTATACCTTATAAAAAAAAAACAAAAAAACTTTTCTTTATGGCCTGCCTGGATTAATTTGATTTAATCTGTTGAAGCATAATCCTAAAAGATTTTGAGGTATTTCTGAAAGCTTGTAAAGTAGAATTTGAGCTCAGAGCACACATATGGTAGAAAGTGTCTACATTCCCAGCTATTCAGTTCTGGACTGACTGACTTTAAGCTTCTGTTTCAGGTCATTCAGCTTTAATCCGATTATTTCCTGGAGATAAAATTAACCTCTGATTTGATAGAAAATGTCAAATCTGGAATCATCTAACAGATAGAAACAGAACAAAGTTTGTCCAGTTTAATGTTAAAGGGTCAGATAAGGAGAGGTAGTGTTTTTCATGCCAATTCAATCATTTTGTTTGCATGTTTACAGTCTTCTGCAATGTGCTGTCTTCAAAAGTCCAGTAGATTGATTTTGAACTTTTTTCAAACTAATCCAGGTATTTCACTGTAAAAAATGGAAATCTAGATCAGTCATTTTTTCTTAAATAAAGTGCATTTCTTCTTGGATTGAGCAGGTAAAAGAGACATTTTGCCAATGGAACAAGACAATTTACATTTAAAATAATAAAATGCAATTGTAGTGTCTTATTTCATGTGCATGTTATCAAATGATCTTATTTTAAAAGTATAAGCACTCATTCCATTGGCAAACTACCTCATTTACCTACTGAAATTAAGGGTAAATACACTTAATTTAAGAAATCCTTACTTATTTCTAGATCGTTTTTCCAGTGTTCTGATACATTTGAAGTTAAAGAGAAGTTATGTCCTCCTACTGTCACCACATTCTTCCTTCAGACGAGGAATTTCTCCAAATTCAACCACTTATCCAATTTATCGACTGCATATGTTTGAGAGTTTGAGGTGTGGCACACACTGGACAGGTTAGCAAATATTCCTCTACACACAGGAAAAAATCTAACTCTAGATAAGTCATTTTTTCTTTAAATAAGTGCGTTTGTTCTTGGATTAGGAGATGAGAGACATTTTGCCAGTGGAACAAGAAAACTTCCCCTTAAAATAAAGAAACACAATTGCATTGTCTTATTTTAAGTGTATAATATCTAATTATCTTATTTTAAGAGTAAAAATACTCATTCCATTGGCAAACTCTCTAATTTACCTACTGAAATTAAGGGTAAATACACTAAATTTAGGAAAATGTTAAATTATTTTGTACATTTAGTGATGTAGAGACATGAATGAAGCTAAGTTGCATCCTTTAAGACGCTCTGAATGCTTTTCTGAGGCCTTGTTGCTGTTTAGCAGAGTTTTCAGAGTTTTCCACTATCTATGAGGCAGTTGTCTGCAGAACACAGATATGCAGACCAACAGGAAGTAACGGCTCTCTGGGACCGGGCCGTGTGGACGAGTTCATTCGTTTGGTGAATCAGTCTGCCAATCATCAGTCTGCCAATCATCAGTCTCAGTCTGCCAATCATCAGTCTGCCAATCATGGCGCATTTAGCCGTGGCCAAAATGGTTGGAGAGTGTAAATATTTTAGGTCATGCTGTGGGCCCAAAGATGCGTGCCATGGTCTACCAGGCAGTCGGTGGAACAGAGTCTGCAGATCAGTCAGGAAAGTCTTATTCTTGC